AGCCGCGGGCGAAATTATTTAAATTCTTTTAAGGTTCTTGTTTTTTGGCACAAAAGGGGTCGTCCGAAAGAGGTCGACCCAGGTCGTCCGAAAGAGGTCGACCCAGGTCGTCCGAAAGAGGTCGACCCGTTCTGAGAGTGGTGACCAGGGCAATGCCGTCAGGTAAGCTGCAGGTGGGATTGCACACCGGACTTACAGCATCGGAGGCACGTGAGATTCAGCTGTGGGAAGTGGTCAACGTTATGCCGGACGGCGGGATGCTCGTCGCTTGCTGCGTGTGTGGACGGCACTGCCGGCAAGATGGTGTGCTCGCACGTCTTGGGCTAGACGCAAGCGGCCCCATGTGTAAGACGTGCTGCGATGTGCTTAAGGAGCCGTGGGACATCACGATCGCGCCCGCGAGTGAGGTCGTTGTTTCAACGGCAGCGGCCAGCACGGCGAGCGCTGTGCAAGACGGGCAGGCTGCGCTTGGCCGCTGCTTCACGGAAGGAGGAACGGTGGTGGTGGACGGGGGCGCGGTGTCGATGTCAGTTCAAAACGGTGCCGCGTCCCACCCCGCCGAGGACAAGGGGAGCTCCAAGTGCACCATGCCGGGCTGCTCGGAAGAGAAGAATCGAATTCTTTTGCTCCGCGATGGCGGCGATCTTGGGCATCTTGTCTTCCGCTGCCACGACTCCGGCCGTGCGGTCGACCACAACACTAACGCTGCTGCTGACCGCCCTCGCTGGCCCGCGCACGGCTGCGCTCTCGCTCTCGCTGCCCGGAGGGCGGTGGTTTCGGGAGCGCGGTGCGGTGACGCAGACCAGAGTCGCAGTGCTTGGCGGAGGCTTTGCGGGCCTCACTGCCGCCCGCACGCTGGTGGCGAGCCACCCGGGCGTGGAGGTGCTGCTCTGCGATCAGCGCGAGTTCTTCGAGTACACGCCCGGCATCCTTCGCGCGTGGGTGGAGCCGAGCGTCCATCCTCGGCTCGTCAACCCGATCCGGCGGCTGCTGCGCGGGCGTCGCGCCTCGTTCCGGCGGGTGCCGCCTGGGTGCGCGGTGGCGGTGGAGGAGAGCACCGTCGAGGCCGCGCTGCCCGCGACGAGCGATGAGCCGACGCGGCCACTTCGCTTCACCATCGGGCGTGGCGCAATCTCGCCGCCCGCCGGACTGTGATTCATTTTCTCACGCGTGGGGTGGTGATGTGGACTCAGGCGTGGCGCCGAGTCGCCGCTGGTCGACGACCCTAGAAGCGGAACACGTGCTCTTGTATTCCAACTCGCGCTCGAGGAGGGGACACGCACTCCGCCGCATCCGAGCGTGAACGCTCTGAACACTCTGCACAGTGCTCTCTTCCCGCCCTGGGGTTGGTGTCCCTCCACGCAGGTCGACTACCCGTGCGACTACGTCGTCCTCGCTCCCGGCGGAGACCTCTCCCCCATCACAGACGACCGCGAGGCGGACGGTACCATCGTCGGGCGGCGCGCGCGGCTCAAGCGACAGGTCGAGGCGGCGCTGAGCAGCGGTGAGTCGGACAGTTGTGAGGAGTGAGGAAGGAGCCACCCTCCGCAGGTCGAGGCGGTGCTGAGCAACGCCTCCTCCGCGCTGGTCGTCGGCGGCGGGCTCACCGGCGCCGCGCAGAGAGATGGAGAGGGTATGCGCATACTCAGACCGGCGACCGGTGCACCGGTGCGCTGGTGTGGGCGGACGCTAGGCCGGGGGATGACGGCCACACTGGAGCTAACATACACACCCACCCACCCACCCACGCACGCACGCACGCACGCACGCACGCACGCACGCACGCACGCACGCACGCACGCACGCACACACAGCACACAGCACACACACACACACACACACACGCACACACACGCACGCACGCACACACACGCACGCACACACACGCACACTCCGAGAGAGAGAGAGAGAGACAGACAGACAGACGCAGACCGGCGTCGCTGGTTTCGCGCTGGCCTCGCCCTGGCCTCATCCCCCCCCGACAGCCCGCCCGAGATCAGCCGAGGTCAGCCCAGATGGTGCGAGGTTAGGCGTCGAGCTGGCGGCGGAGCTGGCGGAGAAGCTCGGGCCTGGAGCGGTGAGCTTTTGCCGTCGGCCTCGAGACGAGTGTAGGCCGGAGTCGCACTAGGCTCAGTGGGGAACCTCTCCCAATAGGTCACGCTCGCCGTCGGCCCCACTCTCCCGCGGAGGGGAAGCTACCCCGGCGACCCGGCCGCCGGCTCGCTGCCCTGTCCAGGACACGTCCACGACCCGTCCGAGGCATGTCCCACAGGCGACCCGGGCGCCGGCTTGCTGCCTGGATTCCGCGACACGTGCAGCTTGCCCCTCCCCACCCCCGGCCGACTTCGGCCGATCTCGGCTGATCTCGTCTGATCTCGGCTGATCTCGGCTGATCTCGGTGGGAAGGTGCAACCAGCCCCTCCGCAACTTGGGCCGAGGAGGCGTCGAGCGGTACGCGCGCACGTG